TCTAAAAAGCTTACATAGAGATTGCTCTGAAAACAGACATGCAATTTTCCGATTAAAGTTGTGTTCGTATGATTTCTTTCATTTGCGAAAGTAAAGAAAAACATAAAGAACAAATTAATCATAAATATTATTTTATTATTTGTTGCAACATAGAATTATTCTGCACAATTTAATAACGATAAATTTTATGGTTATCTGCATAAATTTAGATATTCATTTAAATTACCCAGTTAAATCCACAAGACACATTTTTAAATATATCTCTTTTTATGTAAATATTTATATAGTATTTTTCAACGAGAGAAAAATAGATCAATGTGGGCGCAAGTATAAGACGCATATGGTTAACAGAAAGTTGTTATAATAAAACGACTAAAAGATATAAATGATTAGTAGAAAGTTGCGAAGTTTCGCGTTGAAAACTTGTTTCGCTTTGAGGTCAGAGGCTGGATTTTCATGTGAATAACAGCGAGCTATCTTTTGGGAAGTTTTTGCAAAAATCTGAAAAATATTTCGAGGTTTGAACTCTTATTATCATTCGGATAGGATCTTTTTCGTGTCTTTCAATTTTGTCGCAAAGGTTAGGAATGGAATAAATTTAAATTCGGGACAGTAAGCGACATGCACCATAGTGCTCTGCATTTCGCGATGTGATTGGATGCGAACGATATGTTGCAGGCGCACGTGTGCGCTACTACTTTGACAGGCCCACTCTCTGGTAATCTCATTCTTGAATATGGATAGCGTAGTAATTACATTCTGGTCTCTTCGTGGCGAGACGTGAAACACAGGAGGGAATCGGCTGGCGGCGATGCGACGTATGTAACATCGATCGCAGCCTTGTAACCCTCAATGTGCTTTGCATCCGTCACACGTTGCTCTCGCGAGACTAATATTGGCCTCGTGTCAGGAAATGCAGGTAAGGAGAGTTGCTGTCGTGTGTGTTCGTCGTTTTGATCACCGGCACGTGTTGACATGCCGCGAACAGTAATAACGATGAGCTTCACCGCGTATTCTCTAATCTATTGAAACTTATTGAGAGAGAGAGAGAGAGAGAGAGAGAGAGAGAGAGAGAGAGAGAGAGAGAGAGAAATATATAAAGATACTATCACATTGTCTTCAAATGGGTCATTCATTTCTAAACTAGAATGACAACGTATTTTATAATCGAGAAATACACGGCATTCAACAAGAAAATCGCGTCTAAAGGAACGCTAACGTTGTTTGTACCGTTTCTTTCATCGAGGGAAGAGCGAATCGACCTGCTGCACGGAGACGGTTGATTATTCTCGTTCAACTTTCAGGCGAATATGACGAATGTGGTAAATATGGTTCGCATACAAGGACACGGACATGCCTTTTATTAGCGTCGACATTAATTGAAGGTATGGTTCTTCAACGAGCGCGGCTTGGTCGATGCGCCGCGTCGCGCCGTCTCGTGCGACGCCCACGGCCCTGACATTGGGAAAGTTGTGAATGGGAGACGTCGACCCGCGCATGGAATCACTATTTTATTTCCAGATTTTTGATATAATTAGTGAAGTTCTTTCTCTTAAGGCGGAGTACATAAAGATCTGATGCGTTTAGCATCTTCGTATTTTTGCAGTATCATTTTAGGAAAAAATTAGCAGAGACTTCATTCGCGCGTTTCAAAAAAAAGAAAAAGAGTTCTGATAGATTCTTTTCAAATTTAATTAAAGATCTTTTGTTTTAGGTGTTAAAATAGTAGTTCTTCTTTATCGATTCGTGTGGCAGCACGATCGTCGTCATAAATCATACAAGTTAATAGCATTTTGTGGCTGCTTATAACATCGTTATTTATAATTTCTGGACGAGGTTTTATCCTAACAAAGGATAAATTTATATAAAGCCCGGTGTGGCTGGAGCGAGCGTCCACTACGATGCGCGGTGGAATATGTTAACGTCTGCTATCATCATACGCGCGGACGCGACGAATATCCCGGACACGTGCACGCGTTACGTCTGTGTGCGCTGCTCGTGTATGCGACGTAAAAAAAGTCGCGGTGAAGTTATTCTTGCATCGTCACTATACCAGACGCCGATACGTTCTGCATATTACATTATGCAAATGGGGTAACGTAGCGTAGTGATGATCCGGTCGTTAAAACTTGTATCGCGGCGCTAGCTTCCTCAAAATACGCTTCGATAAAACCTATCGCGGGAGTTATCACACGCGTGCTTGCGCGCGTGGTTAAGCTGTTACGTCACCGGCAATTCCAACTACGTGGAACTGTTGCGTCGCATATAAATATCGCTACATCTACTTGCCACGGCGAGTATGAGAATCAAAGGTTTCTCGTAATGAACGAGACGCGCAATCATAAACTTTTTTGTTTATTATCACTTTCAAAATACAATGATAGAATAATATAAAAAGAAATGCAAGAGTTTAGAGCGTAATATGGAAGTGTAATATTAGGCTGTGAATATGTATAAGGTGATAATATTGTAGAATGAGAAAGATAGAAAGGATTATGACAAGGAAAGGAAAAAGAAACAGTTAAAGATGAATAGAAAAATAAATAGTAGAATATTATATAAGTCTAGATATAGGTAAACATGGGAAGTATGATGGATGAGTGAGTTTAGGAATAGTCTTGTAAACCAATCCCTTTTCTTTGTTGTTGAAGTGAAATAAATTTTTATGTAGATTTCAATAGCAGACTCCTCCTTAATAAAATGAACCGCAATATTCATGAACATTGACATTTTGATAACGAATTTGGACACGGAATATTCAATATAGCTTCAATATGGATATCATTATATTCGATTTTTAACATAAATATTAAATAACGAGAGTTTGATTTGGAATAAAGTGTTGTATCATATTAAATGATGGCACATTTGCTGGCACATTCATTTGAAGTATGATGTCGAAACGCCTTTCGAAACTGATACTGTCGTATGATTAACGAACGGATGATATGCGCGATTGTCCATAATCGTGGGAAAGACGTTCCGTGTTTATCGCATAATTCAACAGATATTAGGTAATAGCCATGCGACCCATGTTTGTCCAACACATGTCGACTAATGCAGCGAAAACAGATTTCTTTATTAGATACATTCTCGTCGCAGACAGGAAGTTCAAAATCCCACGAGATCGTTTCATCTCCCCTGGCGCTTATTTTCTTATGAGAATTTAATAGAGGAATTTTTTTAACGATATATGTCTTATTAGGAAAGCTCTCTCGAACTTTAAATTAATCCAAACATCTTTTAATTGTTATTAATGATTATTGTTAATTAAGTTTGTTGCTTGTATTATATTATACATATATCTGTGTAAGATCGTAAAAGATAAATGCAAAGAGTTTAGAGTTAAAGAATAATTTCATCGTCGTCATAAGATGATTATGAGATGTAGAGAATATCACAAATAATTACCTGAAGTTTCTTAAAGGAAAACACGATGTTATCTGATGATCGAGTTAGCGATATCCAATTTATAGAATGCTTTCTTTTCTTGAGATGTAAAGCAGCGAGATATTGCTTCTCAGAAGTGGCTTTTGTTATACATTTCCCTGCGTATCAAACGAGAAGCGTAAGGGAAGAATATTGTAACTGTTTGCTGAAAAACTTAATAATGAAATATGCGGCAAAAATAGCCACGATAGAAAGCAGCGAGGTGATAATGTATTCGATAGATTGCGACATAAAATTTATGTTATAGTAAAAAACGCGAGAAGTCGATGAAGCTCAGACACGTTGAATTTTCTTGTATATAACGAGTTATGAATTTTTTCAGATGAAACGTCCAAATGGATTTCTATAGATATTCGGGCCATCCAAACACCCGCATTAAATTGCTTTACGTCATTTTAATCGCCACTCATAACGCCGACGATGATGGCGGGTTGTAAAGCAGACGAGACGTTTTATGAGGCGGGATTCGCGAAGCGAGAAAATTCTTCGTGGTCGGTTGAATGGTTTGCCGGTGGTTTGGAGAGTTCAGAGACCGAGTTTTGCCACCAAAGCACGTAGATAGAAGCGAATTATTTTGCTTCGACCTCGACTCCTTCCTCCCTCTCACGTATAAAGCACGTCTTCATAATGATTCCTCTCAGGTGCACTGTATAATTTGGAATAATGTAATTCATCGGAATTCTATTTTATCAGTGATATGATTCAGTAATATGATGACAGTACTTGTTAATTATCACTGCTCGCTCTTATTTCTTGGAGCATTGATATCTCCAGTCGTCCTGCTCGCATTTTTATTTGGTTCGAAAATCGAATCGGACACCTAAAATCGTTTTTTTTTTCTCGCATACAAGGAGTTTAAATTATTTTATCGCATTAAAATTTTAAAAAAGACATTAACAGTACTTATTACGATAATATTATATAAAGAAACTGCAAGGAAAGAACGATTTTGTTGAAATATTTAAAAATTAAGCTAAATATAAATAACTTAATTAAATTATTAAAATAATTATGTAGGACGTTCAAATTAATTGCTTTAAATAATAATTAAAATGTTAAAACTTTTTACAGTATTGCTTATTATGCTTGAGATTCTTACGTAATTATTTTGATGGTGCTAAAAGTTATTTTCTGATTTACATTTAGATTGTTAGATTATTAAATAAAGCTTCAGCAAAATCATTCTTTCCGTACATATTCTTGGATTATAAAAATGTATTCTTAGTGATTATTCCTATTGAAATAAATATGTAACAAACTCAAACATGAACAATATTGCAAAAAATTTTCTACAATTAACTTGAGCGTTTACATAATTAATTTGATAGTCCAATAAAATTATTTTCAGATGTATTTAACTTTAGATACTTCAACAAAACTGTTTTTTTGTATAGTTGCACAAAAAGTTACTCCACAATAAAGACACAGCATTGCTCGTTACCGCACAATTCGTTTCTCTTATCGTTAATTTACATTGTAATCTTTGCACGCTATTACACCGTCGCAATGCCAATTGTAATCCTCAAGGAGGATTTGTGCGTTTTTTGCAGACGGCGCTCAGCAATCTGGAGGAGATGCAGCATAATGCCATGTACCGTAGCGACAACAGAAGCCGAAGCATGGGGGTGGGACCTATGCGATCTCGTCCGATGGAAAAAAGGCACGACACGTCACCGTACAGCGGCGTGCCTTACCTGTCGCCACCGCCACCGGATACTTGGCGAAGAACAAACTCGGACTCTGCTTTGCATCAGAGCGCCAACGAGGCTTGCCAATCAACCTCCGCCATACCTCATCGACGAGGTAGCGATGCGTGTCGATTTTACTCCTTTTTTTTTTCTTTTCTTTTTATTTATCATAGGTAAACCTGTTTCGACTAGTATATCCCGGATGACCCATGACGCGAGCTTTCTCTCAACGACGGATGCTGAGTGAAAGACTACGAGTTATAGAACCTTACGTAATACAAGATTTCGTCAAAACGCTTACTACGTGCTGTTATCCACGCAGCTGAGAAAAGTTTCTGGTTGAAATGAAACTAAAAAAATTCTGATCACATTAATCAGAATTTTGATCATCATAATTGGACATCTGGTTATTTCAACTAAAATTTTGATTGATATGATCGGAAACTTCTGATTTGTTTTCATTTCTGACTTTTCATTTTCAATCAGAAATTTTTCTGAGTGCGGGAATTAATGTCTATAATTGTGTTTTTTTAAGTATCTTTATTATAAATAAAAACAGAACTATTTACTCCAATTTATATCGAGTATAACATTGAGATATGTGTCTAATCTATTTAAACTTTGTCATAAGTATTACATTTTTTAAAAGCGTATTTCTGCAGATCTACTGCAGTTAATCAAAATCCGTCGTAATGAGAAGGACGATTAATCAAATATCTTGTATAAAACTCGTAAACATTATTTCGTCAACCGTTAATAATTTAAACGAGGCTAAAATGATACGTCGTGCAGTTTGCGTAATTTATTTTGCGTGAAAATGAAATCATGTTTTTACTCCCTCGACATTTAACAATTCGAGCGTGATCGAGTATTCGCATGGGTGAATGACACAGTTTTTCAGCGTCGTTTGGACGCTATATTAATGAGTTCATTCTATATAAAACTTCGCTCTTCGCGAAGTTGCTTCTTTGACTTTTGACGCTGTTTTGCGAATCAACCCAGCTCGGAAATTCCGTCATTACCATATTGCCTCGTTACCTCGTTATATCGCGACACCGCTTTGTTCCTTTATAAGTGGTTACCTAGAGAATTTTACAAAGAGATTGATCTCTCAGACCTTACACGCTCGCCTCTGAAATGCATGCGGTTTATAATCTACCCGTTAAAGACTTTCACAATTCCAAACTATGAACCTAGAATTCTCGTGGTTTTACATCTTACAGTATTCGCAAAACTAATTAGATACTTTTACTATTACGATTATAAAGTTCATATAATTTAAACAAGGAATCGATCCTCTCCCAAGACAAAGTTCGTAAAGTTCTTCGTGCAGATGTGACATGCAAAGTCTTCGGAGCAATAACACGGTACAGTTTTGATATAAATTTTCCTTAGATCGCGTCAAATCACGAAACTTTCCAGAACGATCTTGTGCTAGAGATCAGTGTAACAACGAAACATATGAAATGTTATACGATAGTAACGTTAGTAAGCGGTATTACGTTGCTCCGGAGAAATCGGATAACTAGTTTGAGAAACTTCATGCATTCTGTACAACCGTAACGGAAGATGCTGTATTAAAATGATCGTTTTATATTCAGCATCATGCAAGTAAAATATTATCTGGAATAAGAGAAATCACGTTAACATATATCGGCTTTATGACGTTATGTATAATTTCGAAACTTGATAAATCGCGTATTCTGAAATTAACAGATCAACACGCTATGACTGGAAGTGGAAATGACAACAGAGATTCTCATCATAGTTTCATCGAACGACCAAGATCCTCCTGCGAAATGCCTAGAGTGCCTGGGATTAAGTACGTATTGTTAAATGATAAGAAATCAATAGCACGTTTTAAAAAATTAGCATTTTCATGTGAACAGAGAAAATGTCTCTTCCAGTTTGTTTCACGATTCAGTTTTATAACTTTTGCTGACTGAGCGGTGGAATTACATCCAATAAAAACTTTCATTTGATTGCGTTGCGAGTTAATTGAGTTAGTTACAATTTTCGTGAACTTTTTTGTTCAGTATATACCCGAGCTCGCAACCACCGGGACAGCAAATACCTATAGGCAACAACACAGGGTCGTTGCCCGACTTGAGCAACGTACACTTTCCGTCGCCACTCCACACTCCTCTGGACCAAGAGGATCATTCGAGTAGTACGCCGTTCAGCAATGTAAGTTGTTCAACTGATTATCGTACATCAATTATGATAATATTTTCTCTTTTCTTTTCTCTTGATATTATACGCACTTTTCGCGAGGCTGCACGTTTCTGAACGAGTCTTAATCGTTTTACAGTGATGTTTAATTTTTTTTTAATATTTTTTATTCTCTCACCTGTCTTTGATCCTCGGAAAAAATGTCTGTAAAAAAATGTCTGTATTCAAAATTATAAAACTTTAAATGATAATTTGAATGTCATGTTGCGATAAATTTATTATTGTCTTATACTATCAAGTATGTTTCTCTGAGTGATTTTTGTATTAAGTGAAAAACGAAAGACAATTGTTTATTGCTACAATCGCCAATAGGTTCTATAAATAAGTGACGTTTCTCATTGTTATTCAACGGATAATTTAATCCAGCCGGTCTACGATAAAATCTCGATATTTCATCAGTTGAACTTTAGATGTACTATTATCAATTAGAATTGATTCTCTTTCAATTTAAATTACTGTGACGAATAAAAGATTGATATTTAAAACATTTTAAATTTATTTAGTTACTAATTTTTTAATGAGTCAAGCTTTTATCTCAACAAAAATTTATTTTTTTTAGATTATGTCTCTATTTAAATATAATAATTATCTAGTATCTGTGGCTGAAAGACGACCTGATAAGTTTGCATAAAAATTGTGATAATGTAAATGTTATTTATGGAGGAAATGCATTTATTTTTTAAAAGAGCGGCTTTCGTCGATATCGATGTGAAGTAATTTATTTCTACTTTTGAACGGATTGAAATTGGTTAACTAACTTAATGTTTTACAATTGATGCGGCCGACGAAAGAATATTCAATTAAAGAAGGTAAAAAGCAGATGTCGATATCGAAATTGTTCATTCGCGTTTTTCTCATCGGTTTCTTATTTTTTCAACAATTACTGTTCATCTCATATATTTCTTATCGCTCGTACGAGCGAAGTCGTTGAGCCACGTACAGACAAGCTGTAGACAAGTAGGATTTACCACTGAAAGCGGGAAATCTTTTTAAAATGGTTGAACCGCTGATATATTCCAGAGTCCTCAAACGAGCAGTCCCACAAACCTGTCCAGTCCAACCAGCTTGGCACAAGCTGGTAGGCTCTCCTTTTCACAGGATCCGTCAAGCGTCCAAGTAAATATCCTCGCGGCCCCATATTACTTGTAGATTGTGCCTATTGTTATAGCGCAGCGGATTTTTAATTACGAGTGACACGAATCTAATAATTTTTTTCTGAAATTTACTTATTTATCTAAAGAGCTCGGTGCACGAACTTCTATTGTAAAGATTTTCCAATCATAATACGTACATCTCGGTTAAGAGCCGCTGTCGTAGAATGTTGTAAAATATCTGCGTGCGAAATATCTGAAAAAGATTTGAACCGATCTGAAAAGGTTATTTTGGGATTTTTTTTTTAATCAGTTTATGAAAATTTTTTAGGGTCACGTCCCAAAAAATTTAAGTTTACATCGCGATACAATATCGAATGCTCAGATATTTCGCATTTTCACTGGCAGATTATGGAATCGAGGGAAGCACATTTTCAGTCTAAATCCACAATAGACAAAAAATTTGTGTAATATATATATATAT